CGTCTGCCGTCGTCATTCCTGGGGCTCCCTGCTGGCTCCTGGCTCTCTGGCATTCACACAAGGATGCTCCCTGATTGCTGCCGAGCACTTGCCAGCAATGTTTTATGTGTTTTAATGGACAAGATTAATATTAATTTGCACTTCTTTTTTTTCCTTTTATTTAATATTTAGCAGCCCAGAGGACTTCTCCCTCCTTCTCTCACCTCTGGCAGGAACAAAAATAACTCCTCAGCAAGGACTGGATGTGGTGGGCGGGTTTGTGCTCAGCTCCAGCCAAGTGCTTCTGCTCACGCTTAACTTGTAGGCATGTGCTAGGGCCTTTTGCCTGCAGTTCACACGTTTGAGTGCTTAGCGACCAGCCTGTGCCCGGGCATGGGACGGCTGAGGCCAAAACACTCTCTGAATGCAGGAATGGGTTTTGGTCCCATTGACAAAGCTTCTGAATAAGTTAAAAATTTCCAAAACTTCTGTTGGAGTGCTTGGGGGAACAGAGGCTTTGGTCAGCACTTGCCCACCCCAGAAGGACAAACTTGTTAGGGAAAGGCTGGTTTTAACTGGAGTATTTCCTTCCTTCCCTTGAGACGGGCTTTGCCAGTCAGGGGAAGAGACAAATCTGCCTTGCCACTGCCCTTGAGAAAATGCCTGTGGGTCTGCACGCTGTGAAAAAGAAAGTGAAAAGGAGAAGGGAGGAAACAAACATACCTGGCCCAGGTGGTGCTGCCTGCTCCAGCAGCTTGCGTCCTTCCATCAGTTGCTCTGGGGCCAGAGGTGAACTGTCTTTGCTCAGGAAGTAAATGGAGATTTCGTGTTTAAAAGAATTTTATCTAGATTTCCCTTATCTGCTTCCTTCATCTGGGCCTTTCTCCATGGATGCCTTTTACTGCTGCCTCTTGCTGTCTTTGAGGTGGATCTGCTTCTCCTTCCCTGCCCCAAAGCAGCGATGCTTGGCACAGCCCTGTCTGCAGCTCTCTCTTGCAGCACAGGATGGCAAGAGCGAGCCATCAGGAGTGCCAGTCCCCAGCCTGATGGCTGCTGCTGCTGCTTCTGACAGTCTGTTTTCTTCCTTCTTATTTATCTCTGCTTGTGTTTTCCCTCCGGGATGGTCCTGTAGTGCAACATGAAAGGGTGTTTAAGGGAAAGGGAGGGCAGGGAGTGCCATGTGGAGGAGTGCAGGAGGAGATGTTGCTGAGCTTTAGCACAGGCAAAGTTAGGGATGAGATTGGGGAGCGCAGAGTGGAGATCGCCTTGGGGGGCACATGGAGATGGGAAGTGGTAACACACTGGCCTTGTGTGCACCCTCTTTCTGCCTCCCATCATCCCTGCGAGAGCCTTGCGGTGCCAATGTCTGCAGGCTGTCTGTCTGTCTTGCTGCTGCCGTCAGGTGTCCTGGTGGGTCCTGGTGAATTTTGCCACCTTGTGTGGCGGGAGTTTGGAGACTTTGGTTCTCCTGCCCTCGCCAGAAGAGGCTGGCAGAAGGTGGCCAGGCTCGTGCATCTGCTGGTTGCTGGCTGCCACATCGTTTCGTTATCCAGCAGGCTTGAGAGCAGGTGGCAGGGAAGCACGAACACTCATATGATGCTCCCTGTACCCCCTATTCTTCCTGGACTCCTTATTTAGGCTGGTGTGCCCTGGGGTAAGGAGCCTTGTCTCTGTCTGCTGGCTCCTTTTTCAAGCATCTCTTTGGGGGGCAGAAAGGACAGCAGCTCTGCTGGGGACAAAGGCTGGGGTTAAAGGAGGGAGCTGGGCTCTGATCTCAGCAGTAGGAAGACACGTTGTGCCCTTAGGTGGTATTTGGGGAGAGCTGCTGGGCTCTCCTGCCCCCTACCGTGTTCCTGCCTGGTGATATGGGTAAACGTGAACTCAAGTGGTGGGATTTTGTTAAAAACCAGAAATGAAAGCTGCGACCTGGGTCAGCTTTGGCGTGGAGGTTGCTGGAGTCCTGTGGGCTATCACTGCGCTGGGAGCAGAGCCTTGAGCACCCTCCCTTGCTGGGCTGGGAGCCCTGCAGCCTCCTGTCTTTAACAGGAGGCATCCCCAAATCTGGAAAGAGAGTATGTTTTATGTTTTGCATGTTGTTGTGATCCAGGATGGAAGGGGATGTATTTCTCTTTGTGTTCTTACAAACAGCTTGGTGACTACATGCAAGTCTTACATGCTTCAGTTTTCCCACCCCTATAACTGTGCTGGACTGAGTGTGCCCACGTAGGAGGGACCCAGCAGCCTCTGGACTTCTCTCCGGCTTAGTGTCGGTGGCCTGTGCTGGTGGGTTGCGTGTGCAGGTGGCTGCTGGGGGCACATGCCCCTGCAGGGTGACCTCCTTGGGGGTGAGAGACAAGCTGGGCAGGTTGTGGTCACATCTCTTTTTAGCACCTCCTGGAGTTGCAGGGTTGTCCTGCGGATGGGGACGGTGGTGAGCACGTCTCAACAGTTGGGTCTCTGATGAGGGGGTCAGGAGAGACACTTTCTGCAACAGCTGTCACCCAGATTGGGTTTCGGTGGGCAGCCCAGTGGGGTTTAGTTCTCTGCTGCAAGTCCCTCTGCCCTCCAAGGAGGGGAGCAGTACCTTCCCCACTGGGCTGTGAGCTTGGGCTGGCGGAACGTTGACACTTTGAGCCTGGATCAGCCTTGGTTAAGAGCAGACACCTGGTCTGGTGTGCCCGATCATGCTGGGCCATTGCAGTTACCCTGGTTCGTGGTGGTCTCCTGCCTCAATTCTCAGCAGGTTGAGGTTTTGGCTGGTCTTAAGCCTTTCTCTTCTTCTGACACCATTTTGTCTGTCCCCCTTGATCAGGTGCCTCCGGAGAAGTGCCGCTTTGCCATAGGCCGAATCCTGAGCGAGGGAGATGCACAGCCGTCAGAAGAGCAGATCAAGCGGTTCCTGAAGTATGGCTTCAAGATCTTCTCCTTCCCTGCTCCCAGCCACGTGGTCATGGCAACCTTCCCGTTCACTACGCCATTGTCCATCCATCTAGCAGTCAACCGTGTCCACCCAGCCCTTGACATCTACATCAAGGTAAGCGAGTGTGGCATGAAGAGCATCACACGTGTTTGGTGGACTGTCAGAGGCTTCTCTTGCTGGCAGCTGATGGGGCTGCTCTGACGTGTCATCTTTTGATGTCTTCCCTTGGGCGCTGCCATCAAGATCTACTCCTTTTGCAATCTGGCAGGTAGTTCCCCGACAGGGATGTCCTCCCATTCGCTCCATAGGCGCAGAGATGTCTTCTGCTGTTTTGTGTTTACGAGAAGCAGGTTCTCATCTGATGACTTGCTGCTCTTCTCCTTAATGCAGAGATAAAAGCTGATTTTCCCCTGGTGTGTCTTGCTTGTTGTTAGGATCTAGCAGGTATGTGCCCTTCAGCGTAACGCATCATGCCATGAAACTTCTGTTTCAAGTGCCAGCCTCTCCAGTGGGGCAGCTGTCTTCTGCGGGGGTGGGAGGAGTTAGAAACTTTCTGGCCCGTGGGCTTGTGAAGACTTTGTTTCAAGCAATACATTGAAATTTGTGGCCCTTGGCCCTGGCTGGGCAGCCAGGTGCTGTGGGCTGTGTTCGTCCTTGCCCCTGAGCGGAGCAGGTAGCCATCCCTCCTGCTTCTGGTCTTTTTGAAGCCAGCTCTGCTGCCTTGCTCTGACTGTCATACCAGCTGCAGCAAGGGTGTTCCCAAGCAGCACATCTGACAGACGCCTCCAGATCCAGGCTTTCTAGAGAGCAAGGATGATCATGGCCAGCTGAGCAATGGAGGGAAGGGACCGTCCTTCCTGATGGGGGAGGGTGCTGGGGAGGGGCCGGCGCTCAGCCCCTGGCTTATCTGACTGTTGAGTTCTGCCATTTTCGTTCGTGATGAAACGCACTATTTATAAACTTGCTTTTCCTGGCAAAACTCCCAGCCCTGTGGGGGAACCATGCAAATTCCTCCAGCCTGCGCTGTGGCACAGGGTGGCTGCCTGGGTGCCAACCCCAGAACTTCAGCTAGGGGCTCTTTGCCGACCCTCTTGTCTGCCCCAGCCTTAGGGAGCTGTCTGCTGGTACCGGCAGAAGATGCGTTAACGCCGGCAGTAGATTAGACTGCTGCTGCTCGTGTCCCCTGGTGCTGGAGAGCTGGTGGAGAGCAGAACCAGTTCTCTGTTCTCCTCTGCTTGCTCCATCCTCTCTACGTCTCTTCCTGGAGCTCTGCCGGCTGTTTTGTTGCGGGGGGATATTGGGCACTGCTGCCAGCCCTTCGGCGGCCACGTGGGCGTGCTGGGAGGGGGCTGGCGCGGGTGGGAGCATCAGGTTGGCTGCGGGAGTGCTCGGCGATGCGAGGCTGACGCTGCCTTGCTTGGGGAAAGGTCCCAGCAAGCGCATCTGTCACATGAGAGATGGAGTTGTTAGAGCTAAAAAGGGAACCATGGGTTCTTCTGGGAGCACCTGGCAGCATGTAATGGGAGCGGCTGATTTCGAATTAAAATAAGTAACTGAAATTGTATGGAAACGCAGCACCCAGGGCCACGTGCGGAGGGAGGGGACATGTTTTGATCTCTGCCCCAGTCCCAACAGCACGTGTATCAGGGTGCCTGCCTGTGTCCATCCCCAAGTCCTGCAGCAAAGCGTGGTCCCCCTGCCCGCATTAGGCTGACCACTGGGACACAGGCAGGGAGATGATGGGGTTGCCTTGCTGCTGCGGGACAGAGGGGAGTGCGTGCTGCTGATCCCTGCATGCTGCACCATGGGGATGCCCTGGCTTCCTGTAACATGATGTGGGGGACCTTGGAGGCTGTTTGCAGCCGCACCAGCAGCATCCATGCTGCTGCTTCTGCATCCTGGCCTCTTCTCCCTCGGGCTGGACCGCCTGTGGCCCTGGGTCTGTGCTGGCACTTCTCAGGGTGGAGGGATGGGGAGGGAGGGTGGAAACTTTCATGGAAACAGGTGACCTGTGCCCGCTCAGTGGTGGGAATGGGGGTTGCCATGGAGACAGCTTCTCCAAATAGCATCCTTCATCCTACCCCCAGTGCCTGGCTTGACAGAGATTTGCTTTATTTATTTATTTCACGCTGCGCCTACTTTGAGAAGGGCGCTGTTAATGAGAGCCGGGGGTCAGGCCTGCCGAGTGCACGGGTACCCCCACTGCCCTCCCGTCCTCATGGCAGCGGGGAGGAAGGGGGTGAGACGGCAAAAGCCAGGAGGCATGAAAGGGGGCTCAGTGGCAGAGATGAAATGCCAGCTCCTGTGGAGAGAGGGAATTAGTTGAAGTGGAGGGAGGGTGGCATGGCCACCTAGTCATAGGAAGGGAGGTATGGGAGAGCAGGGGATGGAGATGGAGGTGGAAAAGGCAGGGAGAGAGGTGAAAGGTGGGAAGAGAGGGTGGAGAAAGCTTTGGAGATGCTGAAAAATAGAGGAGGGGAATGGGAGGAGGAGGGGACTGGAGGGGACATGTGGGGCAAAGGAGCTGAGGGTTTGGGGACCGGCTGAAGGAGCAGGACTGCGAGAGGTGGTGGGGAAGTCTGGGGCAGAGCTGGAGGAAGCCCCACTGCGGTGGCCCTTCGGTGCGCTTCATGCAGCGTCCCCTGAGGTTAACTCTTGGGGATGTCAGGTCCCTGAGACCGAAGGCTGGTGGACATAGAGAGGGAGCATGGTTCCCTCTGGACTCGCTGGTGCCACGCTGAAGTTGCCGAGGATGCCTGTGGCTCAGGTTTCCTGAGCAGTGTGTGTGCAGCGGTGCCAGCTTTCAGCAGCCTGGGCTTCATGTGTCCCAGTCTGCTGCTGCTTCCAAGGGACAGGGAAGATTAAAAATAAAATTTATAACAATAATTAAAAAAAAGGGACGGCGGAGTCTCCTTTCGTTAGGGACGGAAGGGCAATGGGCTGGCATGGAGCAGGAAGCGCAGTCAGGTTGCCCTTGCAGCATGCCTCCTCACCCCCCTGGGTCTCATGGGGCTCGGGAGCTGGCATTTCCACAACTCTTTGGGTGCAGCCACGGCTTTCAGGAACTGGGGGGAAATGGCTGCAACCGTCCATAGCAGGTAAGACGACATCCTTCCCCTGGGGTGGCAGGCTGGCAGCAGCAGCGACTTGCTGGCTGGAATCGCCTTTGGAGAAACCCCGGAGAGCCTGCTGGCTCGTTGCTCCCAGCGAGCTCCAAGTGCGGGTTATTTAAGGCATCGACTAGGGTTATTTACTGTCCCTCGAAAGCATTTCTTCCCTAATAGCTCCTGCTGATGCCTCTCCCTGCTACCAGGCAGGTATGCCCTGCTTTCCTGGGACGTGCAGTCCTGCCCCATGCCACAGCTGCCAGTCAAACCTGGCACTCCTGGGTGCAAAGGAGAGCTCCTGGAAAGCTCTTCCCTGGTGGGGACCCTTTCTGACAGCCTTGGGAGCAGGTTACTGCCCTGTAACCTCCCGCCATTTCAAGGAACATTTATTCTGGCTTCGGTATAGCGAGCTGTCCATGGTGAGCTGCATGTGCCTGCATCTGTCTGCATCCGTGCTGGCATCTAGCGAGCCCTGCCAGGTAGGTGGGCTTGGATCTCCAAACCCCTGGGCTCCTCTGGCAACCGGAGAGGTGACTAATTGCATCTGAGGTGGAGCTGGCAGGTGTCTCCTACTGCAGCCCTAGAAGTGACTGGCTCAATATGGCCTCTTTCCATGGGATTTTGGGTGAGTTTTGTGCTCTCTCCAGCCAAAAAGGGCGTGCAAATGGTGGGACAAAGGAGGAGAGCGATGGCAGCATTGTCCTGGCTGCCTTGCACCCTGCTCTGGACCAGAGCATGAACTGACTGTCTCCAAACTCTGACTCTGCCTAACTTGGAAAACTAGGGTTTAATCTTTTTAGCTGGTCTTGAAAAGGCATCGTCCGACTTTCAGCAAAGAAACCATCCTTTCCCTTCCCCTGGGCTCTGTACTAGGACATTCCCCACCTCCATGGGCTTGTGAATCACTGCTTTACAGTGCACATCTCAAGCAACAGCGGCTGGCATGGGCTCCATGCTGCCAGGAAGGATTTGGGAGGCTATCAGGTTGGCTCCTGCCTGGCATGGACTGCCATGCTCCTCTGCACCTTGGGCCCCCGTCTACGGGAAGCGGAGGCAGGGTGTTCCATAAGGTGCTAGAAAGACATGGCTTGCTCCCATTTACTGTCAGGGAAATGTGTTATTCCTTTGGCTGCTAGCTTGGAGCAAGCTTTGCTCCGCTTGTTGGCTATGGCAGTTTAGGATGCAGTCACCTCTTGCCTCTCTCTTTGATAAGCTAAATATACAGAGCTTGTAAAGGCTTCTGCTGGCATATTTCCCATATTTTCCAATCTTAATTCCTGGGTCCTTTTTTGTACCTGTTTTCAGCTTAGAAAGTTCTCTGACTTGTCAGTAGCACAAATGGATGCTTTATGTCAGCAATAGTCTTATTGCTGTGGTGCACAGATCTCTGGTGGAGATCTCATCCCCTGCTGCAGACCCCCTGGTCATGGGTTTGTTCTGAGCCAGCTAGCAGTGACTTCAAACACGTGCCACTGTCCTTTGATGGAGTTGTAGTTTCTTGATTAAAAATGGGAAATGGTACCAAGTACTGCGTCATCTTGGAGTTGAAATGAATGGTGCGAGTGCTGGTTTGTTTATCAGTCAAGCCCGCAATCACCACAAAAATAAATCACATTTGGCAACAGGAATTGGCAGCTGTAAATGTGTGTTGATTGGCATTAATTATGCTGGACTCCTTTGCTTCCTGGTGATCTGGTCTGGTTGGAGCCATCCGTTTATTTTGCCTTGGCTCAGTCTTTGCCTGACCAGCCTGTGCTTGCCTGAGTCAGCAATTTACCCACTTGAATATTGGCAGGTACAGGCTGCTGTCTCTCCTGAGACTTTCTAGCATCTCCAGCTGGCCAGGGGTCACCCTTTGACAAGGACAGCTTGTCAGCTGGGACTTCAGCGTGTTTTAAATCTATGTTATCTGGACCTGTGAGCTGTGTGTTATATCTTCCCATGGAAGAGCAAACATTTGACCCACATCCTCTGCCCATGTTGTCTGGCTTTGTCCTAAATCCATTG